TGAACAAGGAGGAAAAGCCTGACTGGAGGCTGGCATTGTACACTAGCAGAAAGGACTGGACAGTCACAGAGTAGATACAATCAGTCTTGGAAAAATGGGCAGACTCCTAGATGCTCGCTTCTCACTGTCAAGGAGTCTCTTGTTCCTCTGTCTATTCTTGCTCCATAGTAAAAACAGGCAATGTGTATTAATAATACTAATTAACAGTAGCAATAAATACTAATTAAAAATACCTAGTTACCTTAGTTATTAGTAACTAAAGCAGCAGACACCTCTGCCATGAATCTTAAGCTTCTAACCCTGCCAATGAAGTGCATAATGCCATTGGTTTTTTCAAGGTTTTTTTTTTTTAATAGGTAGGAAGTTGCACACAACAAACACTACATCAGAAAATTAATATTGCACAAAAGATGTAAAATATGTAAACCTTCTTGTGAGAATGTTCATTCTTCCCCTTACGCATACACATTAAGATAAAGTCTTTACTTAGATGATCACACAGAGTTTTCCACCTGGCACCCATGTCTTACAGTGCACACAGTGGATTCACACCGACAGGGAATTGGGGCTGTACATAAAACACATGGACCACTATTTTCAGGACTCTGGCCACTCTTGCCACAGAAACAGTAGGGTGAAAGAAAGGCTGGGAAGAGATGAAAAAGAAAGGCTGGGCTGGAAATAAAGATCTTCTGTCTTGGGGTTAAGACTATTGTAATGTTGCCCCAGGATCGGGATTCTGGCCTTCCTCAGCATCACAGGAGGATTCTGTGACAAGGAACGTAGTTTAACAAAATCTTTCAGAGATTGTTGCTAATCCTGTGCTTCCCCTGCCTCCAGGGGCCCAACATGACTATTTTGTAAGTGCTGTAACACTTCCAACTGCCCCTGAGGTCAGAGAGCATATTGCCTTGAACTTAAACATGCGTAAAATGCCAAATACTCCAAATAAAGTGTTAAAACACACACCCGATATTCACCAATATTTTTGCTTTTAATCTGTTCTGATGAGAGAGATGAATAAACTCAGCCTTATCTCAGAGATACTGTAAGAATAAATTCACTGATATTAGGGCAGTCACTGGTATAAGCTGCCAAAGAAATCAACAGTGCTTCCACAGCAGGGTTTGAATGCAATGCAAGCAGCGTAAACAAGGTGTTGAAGGAACTCTCTGTGTAGTTGAGGGGTCAGGTACAAAAGGATTTTGTTACATTCTTTTTGCAGGCTGGACACTTCTTCCCTGTACCTTCCCAAACACTGTTATTTTAACTGTAGGTGACAATGGACAGAATGTTGCAAAACAAGTCAGATTAAGGAAAACTATCACAATCCACTGGCTCCTGTTGAAACACTTCCAATGTTTCACATTATGATTTCTGTTTTAATGACTGCATCTTCTGTGACCGAGACAGAGTTAAAATTCATAACCAGACCTCCTTGAGAATCACGGAAAGACAAAGAAAATCCTTATGATTCCAGGATGCAAATCCCCCTTGTGCACAATACAATGAGCCCCAAATAAAAAATAATTCACAGGGCTGGCAGTGATATGGATAGGGGACAGAGAATAAGCCAATGAGGCTGGCTGTCATAACCCATCTATGGCTTAATCTCTGCATAAAACTATGACAAGTCAAAAGTGAGCATACCACATTTATTGGCTTACAAAACGTGCAAGTCACCCTGCCAACACACCTACTATCTGCAGGCTGGAAACAGCCAACCCGACCGCTCTTGCCTTCTGAAAGATTCAAGTTAGGCTGCTGCTGTTGATCAGGGCCGACCAACCCGATCAGCCACAGCAGCCCAAGCCCAGGGCAGCTCACAACACGGGTAAGTACCAGCTGTCTGGGCAGCACAGTCTCTTCTAACAAGCACTGCCTCTCTCTCTGACAGCAGGGCAGCGGGAAGGGCAACAGTGCTATGTCAGGCCTGACATCCCCCGTGGGCTGCCACATCGACTGTGATGACCTATATCTACTCTACCGTTCTTCCCGCTGGCTTTCTGCGGTATCTGTGCTATTCTGCTACTCTCCACATGGTGCAATTAGGAAGAGAGATCACCCTGCTGTATACTAATTGCCAAACCCACCTATTTTTCAGTCTTAGATTGACAGGGGACAGGAACTTTTCCTTCTAGAAGTTTTTATGCATCCAGTACACAGATGACAATGCTACTGTCAGAGCAAGGCAACTCCGTTGCCATAACTGACAGAATAAACGTCATATATCCATGCCACCTGCTCCAGGAAGCTGCAGGAATTCGAGGTTTGCCAGAAACAGAAGAAAAAAAGACCAGAGTACAGGTCTAAATTAATCCCAAATAATTTTTATAGTAAAATTCATATTAGGGGGATAATTTGCAGTGGGTTATTGTGTTAAGCGTAATATATGAAGCATGGAGACACTCCTGCAGAAAGTGTCAGCTTCATTCTGTTCATAGTTCAGTCAAGGCGAGCAAGTTTTCTAGAAAAACACATCCCTCATACCTCCCCAGAAAATTCAGTGTCTGTTCTGACTTTTGCAGTTGTCTAAATCCTGTCTTTGCCTTCATTTGATTAATAAAGCCATCATATAAATTACTGAAGTTTACTGAAGAAAGAAGGACAGTATAGAACAGTATTGAATCTGCCCTTATCCAGTCCAGATCACAAGTTCACTCCCAAGGAAAGACCCCATCTTCCTTCAGCTCACTCACACATTGACTATTTACTATTAAGAAAGAAGACAACTCATCCCACCACCAGTATATACCTGGTAAAATACAAGGCATCTCCTCAAGTAGTAGCCAAAAGCTACACTCTGAGGGTTGAAAATTTCAGTGACTGGTTTTTGCTGTGGTTATTATCCTAATTTTTTTTTGCTTTGGAACAAAGTGACTTGTTTAAAACTTAGCCAGACAGCAGGGCAAATATTTGTCCAAAAGGAGAGTCACTTGCCCAACAGATTTAATTGTATTGATGAAATATACTTTAAAATAAGAAGTTAATAAAATTCACAAGTACCCGGGCATTTAAGGCCAGGTGTTTCATCTACTTCCCTTCCCAAACAGAACAAGCAAGTGCATACACCTCAAAAAAATTTTTTAAAGAATTAAAAAAAACGCCAAACAAAACACAAACTACGCAAAAAAATCCAGACAATACAGAATACAGCTGATGACTTAAACTTTTATCCTGACAGCTTCCAATGTGACCCACACAGATACTATACCTTTAGTGCTAAGAACCATTCAAATACAGCATAACTTCTAGTAAATTCTTAGGGTTTGGTGTTTGTTTGCTTTTCTTAAATAACCTTTACTACTTCCTGGGGCCACTGATGAGTTTGCTATTGCAATGAAATCATGAGCTCCTCCCAGCGGGTGCATTTTCTAAACAATTGACATTCAGCAGCAGATAACACTGAAGCATTGGTAGGGCAGCTCCGGCGAATGACATACAATTATGTAAAGCTTTGAACAAAGGCATTCACAGAGGTCTCAGGAAATGGATTTTCATATGACTGGCCATCACAGTACGTGCTTATGATAAATGACGCAGGCACAGAGTTCTCTTTAGTGACTTTGGTTCCTTGCAGTAACTCTCCTTCCACACTCTTAAATGTACTAAAATACATCCTAAACGGAATTTTAAAAAAAAGGGGGAGGGGGGAGGAACACAGAGATATCTTTTCAGTTATTTTTAGGCATCTCTTATCCTCACACTCCAAGGTGACTGAAATGGAGCTTTCTGAGCGTATCATGTCAAAATGACATGACTTCAAGTCTGGGCATTTTTTATTAATTTTATATTCTTCCTTGCAGAATTCAGCACCTTTCACTTGAAAGGACACGCAAGGAAGTATTTCATGACTTCACTGAAATACTTCTTTCACCTACCAATTGAACTAACTTTTTCCCCCCCCTTGGCTAAATGTACATCCTTCATCTCTTTAACACTGCACTGAGGTAGCTTTAAAAAAAACCCCTAAAATTAGATGGAGGACTAGTAGTCACTTGCATTCACAAACACACTGTGCTGTGTTTTTATTTTTAAAAGTTGTTTCTAATCTTAAAAAATAGTTCATTTTAGGCTAAAATAACATTCTTCTTGATGCTTTTGATTGAAGTGACATTATGAAGTCTTTCTTTCCAAGAACAGTTTTGGAGTACGTTCATGCTGCTAGTCCCCAGTGATCTTAAACTAGCGCATTAGCTCCAGACAACAGGACAGACAGGACAGCAAAGCCCTCAGCACAGGCTGCAATGGATGGCAAGACCCAGGGTGAATGCTGGGGCCATTTGCTCACAGAGCTTAGTGCTCCTATGTCAATATTTCTAGCTGAGCTTGAATTAGCTAGCTGCTTCAGCCAACTCAACTCATACAAGTTGTCACCAAAGCAGTTCAAACAAATCTACGCCCATTGAAAACTCCGCCCCTGAAATATCATTCTGGAGGAAATTCTGAAATTTGAAAATTATAAGTAAACTGGTTTGATCTTACTGCTTTTAGAAATTAAAAAAATATGAACCAGGATTGTGGACAACTCTTAATGCTGAAATCATAATGAAATGGCACTCTTCCTACTGAAGATTTGTGAAATACATGGGGAAACAAAAGCAACAAGGAGATTTTAAAGTGCATTTGTAATAATCTCCTCAATTTGGGTTCTTCATAAGATTGACCTTTTCAAATGCTAGATTATTATGCTTAGTTACCCATGGATTTAAATACTTTACTGAACCACAATTCAGAACTAAAAACTCCGCAGCTGCTTTCTGAGAAATCCTAATCTTAACTCATTTAAGGACTGACCTTCCTTCAGGACAGTTACTTCTCCAGTTGCCATACAAACTATCAACATGTTTTGATGGACATTTTAATCCTACAAACTGTACTTCAATTTGTTCCTCCAAATGTCTTAGATCACACCTTAGTTCTCTGATGGAAGGAGAAAGAACCAAACAACCAGTTATAGTACCTTCACTAAAAAGTTCCCTTCATTTTATAAACGGTACCTTGGATGTAAGGTCTCGGTGGAAAATGCCTTTATAGTGAAGATAACTGATCCCCATAGCGATGTCACACGCCAGTTTCACCCTCACTGTCCAGGGCAGATGCTGGTTACTGTCCAATAGCTGTTCCAGGTTACCGCAGTTGATGTACTGAAAAGACAAAACAACATTTGTAATTCATTATTTAACTTCATATATTGTCAGGAACGTAAAATTCATCATTATACGAGTATCCTCAGCTCAGCTACATGTTAAAAACTTTTTTTTTCTCCTAAGGGCTAGAGGCGGGCACAAGGTTTGCAGATCAAGAGTGGCTGAAAATGTCTCCCTTCATCTCTTGTACCAATGCATTTATGTTAAAGATGCATGCAACAGCTACCACTGCATTAATTCTATGGTATTTAAATAGACCCTTCAAAAACACCTACAATATAATAACACCCTCTCATTTCAGTGTGAGGAAAATAAGGGCAAAAAGGATGAAGAGCTGGCTCTCGGGCAGAATAAGTCATTGAAGAGCGGGCTAAGTATCCAAGTGTATGTCATGGAGCCTGATCAAGTTCCCAGATATCAATTCTCTACACTGAAGCAGCATCAAAGAAAAATATCACAACATGTTGCTGTAAGCTATACTTTTTCACTGCTGTATCTACAAGTCCTAATCAGCAAACTGATTCCCACTGTGTTCAGTACTACATCAGTCCCATTAAATGGTGGCCCTCATGAAAAGGAACCTACATTACGTATAACATAAATACTACAAGAGACAATGAAACAAAGCAGCATCCAAATGATGCTAAGTAATATAACCCAGGGTTAATACATGGAAGCTCCACTGCTGCTCAAATAATCATTACAGCAACACTGGGCTTACACTTTCTGTATAGACCCTTTACATCACAAGGGCAGCTACGCCATGTTTGAGCAGCTTCTTGTTTCACTCCCAGCCCCAATCCCCTCACCAGCCCCAAAGCAAAAGGACTAGCTCACTCTAGAAGGAAAACCAGTGCAATGCAGTGGGGTGTCTCAAGAAAATCCAAATGAAGCACACAAGAGAATTTGCTCTCAGGCCTGGTCCAAGTGTGTAACACTATGGCAGACTGCACCAACTTTGCTCCTCTGTGCCATACAGCTCTCCAACACTCTCGCAAAAGGCTTTGCAACTTTCCTGTGCCATTCACCCCAACAAAATGCGTGCCACCATTACCACGTTAAAATAAAACAGGTAAATGTAGGTCTTGTTATTTCAGACACTTCAACTTGCTTGTATTTTGTTGGGCTTCTTTGTGTCTGGGAACCGGGGGCACAAGGCAAACGTGAACCACACACCGTGCAGTGGGGATGTAGCTGATCTCAGACTATGCCAGAGCAAGGAAAGAGCACACGTAACCCAGACTCTACAAGTCCAGGGCTCAGGGCTCACCTCCTGAAGGGTTTACAACACCCAGCTTCTTCCTTACAGTCAGGCGCTGTCTTTTTCTGAGCTCACCAGTTAATTCTGAAACCCTTTTCCAGCAGACACCCAGGTTTCACAGGTCTGTGTTCGAGAAGGCTCGGCCGTTGGGGCAGACCGCCCACAAACCAGTTCTCACTGCCACAGCGCTCACTGGGATGGGGGGACATCAGGGACCTGGCGGTGGCAGAACAGAGCAAGGAGAGCAACGTCTGGTGAGCGGGGACAGCGGGGACATTGGGGACACCAGGCACGCAGCATCCCCACCCTCGGCAGCTGCTTTGCTGCTCCTGAACACGAACCTTTGGCCTGACCCCGGTGCTGTGCATCCAACCCTTCGCCCTGGAGCGACAACCCAGGCAAAGGGGGAGTGCAAGAGTTACTTCTTTGCACTACATGTTCCTCAAAGAATGATTGACATTTAACTTTGGTCTGGGCCAGATTTTAAAGCTGGTATCAACTACTTTCTCGTATCAAAGCAGGCAATCCAACAAAAGGTGCCTGGGTCTAGGAAATACTCCAGTATTTAGCAATTTCATGTTCTTATGACTACTTCAAGATGCTATTTCATACCTTCTGAATTAGACTAACAGCAGGAGAAAGAGTGCAATGATACACAGGAAAGGATTTCAAAATCAGGTACAGAGAAACAGAATGCTTCCTTATATTAACCTTTTCTAGACCAAACAGGCAAGAAGTATTTGTCTTTTATAATTAGGCAAGGAAAGTTCTTGAAGTCTGGAGAGTAATCTGACTGTCCTGCTCTTAAGCAGTAAAATTTTCTATCAAACTATTCTGTTTTGCGCTGAAGATAATTTAATTACTCAGAATTTTCTGCTTAGCGCATATCATTTTGCAAAGCAAAATGCCTGCTGGCCGCTCTCCGAAAATCAAGGCAAACAAGACTTAACACACTAATGATAAAAATCTAATGTTTAGGGCTGCAATAGCCCTGGCACTGGAGCTGGGGGGGAAGGGAGTTGATCAGATGACTACACTGGAAACTAGAAATTGCAGGCTAGTACAAGCCAGAGATCCAAAACCACCTGTCCCTTATATTAGGAGTTCGTGTGTCAGGAGAGCAGGGCAGCTCTGAACAGGTCACTCAGAGGCTACGCCATTCTCCATCCTTGGAGATTTTCAAGGCTCCACTAGACCAAG